TGCCATATGCCATGAATGTAAATAAGTAAATTACATCCTGTATACAATGACCTTTAGGTCATGGGCAAATAGCTGGTAGCTTTTTAACATATAAGCTCCTAAGTTACAGAGAAAAATATTGTGTTTTGAACTGAACCAAATTTAAAGAGGCAAAATTGTTATTTCAAAATCCTAGTTAATGATTTTCATGCTTGTTTTTTGTACCTAAACCGATCAGGAACCCTTTTTTACGTCTTTTTACCTAGGGGGTGGGGGGTGTCTATATTGTCTATATTAAACGTTATAACACCCTTATAATAAGTTATATCTGACATTTTATACGTTAACTGTTAATGTTTTTATTGTATGAATAAAGTTGCCAAACTGAACGATGGTCTCGCCTCGATCATGTGATGGCGTGTCTCCCTGCTTTATGAAGCTACGAACGCTGCACCTTGGATCCGGCTACAGTATAACCAGGCACAAATGTGCTGACGTCTCCCTCTTGACGTATCGTTGGCAGTGATAAAACGGCACAGGTGTAATACAACTCACATTTCTCACTCCACAACTGGAAATAGGACAGCAGCCGACGATTATGCCCTGTAGATGGATCTTTCGAAAGATGTTGAGACTAGTAAATGTCCAGCCAGACTGTCATGTGTACAAGGATCACCAGAAACTGCCTGTAACCATGGAAACTGTATCCATGGAAATCGCCCTGTAACCATGGTTCTCGTTGCTTGTATGAACGACTAGTTTTGTTCCCTCGTTTTAGGAGTATAAAAAAGAAGAGAGAAAATTGAGGCTGAATTGTAACCTATCTCTATCAAAAACACTTTGTCTATATTAAACGTTATAACACCCTTATAATAAGTTATATCTGACATTTTATACGTTAACTGTTAATGTTTTTATTGTATGAATAAAGTTGCCAAACTGAACGATGGTCTCGCAAAACTAGTCCCCAAACAAGGATTAGCTGGTCTCCTTAAAACATCACAATCTGCAGTAGGCCTAAATCAACAAGTCCGTTGCCCCCCTCCCCCTTAGTCTAGAGCAGCATCATTCCAGTTCTATCCCATCGTCACACCCTAAACGTCACTTTCATCCAAACAGCTGCCGTTAATTTATCTCTTTATTTCCCTGTCTTTGCTCCGGTATCACTTATTTTTAGCAAAAATCCGCAGACTTAAGCTTAACCCCAGTATATAGAACAATTACAGTGTAATATAAGACCTAGATTCAAATTTTTACAAACATTTATAAATATTAAACAGGTTTACCGAATATGAAGGTTACCGAGTCTAATACGCAGTGATCGCTTGCACTTTTCATCCGGACTGCTAGAGGCCGCTCGTGCACGGGGAAAAACGAGAAGTGCAAGTACACGGTCTACAAATAGCGCCCTCCAGCGGCGCGACTTCAAAGCGCTCGTTGTAACCTTCACTATTATTATATAAGGCGTTATTCGGTCAGTTTATTTGCGTATTGTCAAGGCCATGACTACATAACAACCCCACACGCGATAATAACCCCTAATATTCTAATCCATGGTTAAAAATCGGTCCAAAATACGTCCGTTTGGAATGTTTGTCGTATGATACGATGTCCGCTATCAATCGCCCCCCGCTCGTCACTGAATGACATCCAGTAAATTTCTAGCGGGGACCAATCAGAGGGCTGCTGAATAATTTGAATAATTTATCAAGGTCCACGGACGCGGTTCTTTCACTTGTAAAGTAGCCAATTACCACCGAGCCGGTGGCACACGATGGGCGAAAACATGTATTGCACACCCATTGTACGTCGACATAAAGCGCTTATACATTACAAACAGAATTTTCGTAGGACTGCCATTACTTTAGTTTGCAGCATGTGTATTGAGAACGAGTATCTTCATAATTCTGCTGGCTGTTTGTAGAAGAACGGCACAAAAAAACAGTTTTCAATACCAACACGACTTAGCAGATAACACGTAATGAAGACCACTTTTTACGCAGATTGTAGCACTACGTAATGTTACACAAACTAACAGTAGATGTTTTAAGGAATTCACAGAAATGACAATGATAGATAATGTAACGCATATACATTATACAGCACAAAATAAAGAGTAACAGTAATGTAGTCGTCTTTGGCCGGGTATGGCAAGTTATAGTACGTACATGTATCGGTTCAATATAATCTTTAACGGGTAAGTTGACAGCAACAAGCAAGATGCATAGGTTCTATTACTTTTGTAGCTCACTTGCGTCTAGATTTAGGACGAGCCCATGTTACTTTTTCGCCGCAGTTTTTCATGTAGTGGTTACTTCGACAGCCTTTCCGCTGACGCAAACATACTAGTTTGAGGTTCCACAGTTCTTACAACGTTAGCGCTTGAAGTGGTGTTTTCCAAGTTTGTTGGGTCTGGTGATGTTGTCTTTGTTGGCTTGTTGTCTGTCATTTCCCTCCATTTTTATGTTTGGCGGCCCGTCTTCGATGGGTTGGGTTTGCTTCACAAATCTCGGCTTCGCTATTAAAGATCCGTTCCTTCCCGTACGTAGTGGTCGCTCCATTAGCGCTAGTGCAGCCACATTTGAATGTGTAAAACTTAATGTCTACAGTCCCGTTTTGATTCGTTCATCAAAGTAGATTTTACTAAGGTATGACTTTACTAACTGATTGTGGAAGTACTAGTACTTAGTACCATGGAGGTACCTCCATGTTAGTACTGATGTAAACAAGAAACAATATACGCGCTCTGGTTGAGTTCATAGCATTTACATGAAACAAGGGTGCTAATAGGCGCTAGTCGGTGACGCGTCAGCAGCCCCATGATTGGTCCCGCTAGAAATCTACTGGATGTCATATAGTGTACACGGGCCCCTCCCCACATATACAGACGCCAACACTGTTGATTCAACAGCCAGATCATCAGAAACAAGGCTGTCGATTCCATTTAACAAGAACAACAGCTCAATAATTTTGTAGTGCCAATCGAAAGGTTTCTTTGTTCGATAAGAAAAAACAGTCTAATTTAATTGCAAGCACTCACACAATGCTTCAGGCTTCAGGACGTTGACCTTGCAGTAGACGGTCCAACTCTGACCTCTGGCGATTTATCTCCAAAGTGCAGTTGTATTCGTACTGTTCTGTGC